TCTTTTTTTCACACAGATTAAGAAAGTGTAATTAATTTGGTTGGAAACATAAATTTAGATTAATAATTTCCTAAAATACCCTTATGCTAATCAATGTAGTCAATGTATTCAATGTATTGGAAAAACTCAATGTATTCAATGTAGTGGGTTAGCATTTAATAACAATGTATTAATAACAAGATATTTAATAAGGGTATTTTAGACAATTTGAAAGATTACTACATTTCTTAATGGGAAAGTGGACTACAATTTGGGACGGACGAAAAATGAAAACAAGACTAACAAAGTGGGATGGAGGGAGTACGTCTTACACTTACATGGAAGTCCTCCACAGCCCCAGCGCGGAATGACATGTAGAACAGGAAGTAATCAATAAAGATGCCGTCATTTCTCAACCGGCCACAATGCAATCCTTTTTTAATGTCGGTGCACTCGAGCAATGTAAATGCCATTAACATTCATCGTAATTATGCTATAACCTGTCACTTATGGCACTATTCATTTATGGCAAGCTTGGGAGTTTACAATAGAAAAGAAAAGAAGAGAAAGGGGAAGTTAGAAAGAGGGGATGGGAAATGATCTAATGGATGCTTGTTTTATATATTGAAATCGGAAATGGAAATGAAATCATAAATTCTGGTTTTGAAATTAAACTTTCATTCTAATATCTAGTTTGGTTCACACATTGGAATAAAAAAGAAATTAAATAGTTTTCTTTTATTTGGGAGATGGAGACAAATAAAAAAAAAAGATACTCAAACAAATTATTTTGCAAATTTGTCACTTCTGTAAATAAATGTGAATTATGTAAGTTGAGCGATTCATCGAGAAATAAAATTGTTTATATCACAATTTTAAGAGCAATATTTTCATATAAAAAAATTCACTTAAAGCTCCGTGTCTTTCTTCCTTTTTCGCCCAATTTTGGGCGGAAAGTTTTTTAAGACATAGAAGGAAGTGAAATTTTTTCAAATCTTTTCTTTTTCTTCTCATTTTTGCTCTCAAAAGATGGAAAAAGTTTATTATCCTTTCAAAATCTTTCTTTTCTATTCATTTCCTTCCTCTTAAACTGGCTATTAGCGCTGCGCTTTTATACATGAATGATTAGGTCATATACTATTCCATTGTGCCAATATGCAATTTTGTAAAGTTTGGGGCCCTTGCTCCTATATTATACAATTTTGCTAAAAATATAAAATCTCCTAACGTTTCAGAAAAAAAAAGGGATAATTTCAGAAACCTCCCCTGAGGTTTCTGACATTTACACTTACCTCCCCTGTGGTTTGAACAATTACACTGACCTCCCCTGAGGTTACTAATCCTTTACAAATTCAGTCCAAATGATTAAAATATTATTTTAGAGAATGAAATTAGAATTTTGTACCTGATTTATCCTTTGTGCCACATGTCCAATGAATGGCAAAGTATTACAAATTAATTAACAATTAATAAACTTTAACGAGCGTAGTTTATAGGCAAATACGTATTGCCTATTTAAAGTACCAACTCTTTACATGAATTTTATTTTCAAACATTTACTTTATCACAAATATTTATTCTCAAATACAGATTTGTATTTACTCTCAAATATTTAATTTTTGTTAAACACAAAACCTACCAGTTTTTCTTCCGTAGAAATATTAATATAACACTTTTTCAATTTTAGTTATAAATATTTTTGTATTTAACATAAATTAAATGATTCAAGATAAAATATCCATAAAGAACCAATACTTTACTCAGTATAACCATGTATGTAGTTTATAGGCAAATACGCATATCCTATTTAAAGTATCGGCTCTTTACAGATATTTTATCTTGAATCATTTAATTTATGTTAAATACAAAAATATTTATAACTAAAATTGAAAAAATGTTATATTAATATTTCTACGGAAGAAAAACTGGTAGGTTTTGTGTTTAACAAAAATTAAATATTTGAGAGTAAATACAAATCTGTATTTGAGAATAAATATTTGTGATAAAGTAAATGTTTGAAAATAAAATTCATGTAAAGAGTTGGTACTTTAAATAGGCAATACGTATTTGCCTATAAACTACTCTCGTTAAAGTTTATTAATTGTTAATTAATTTGTAATACTTTGCCATTCATTGGACATGTGGCACAAAGGATAAATCAGGTACAAAATTCTAATTTCATTCTCTAAAATAATATTTTAATCATTTGGACTGAATTTGTAAAGGATTAGTAACCTCAGGGGAGGTCAGTGTAATTGTTCAAACCATAGGGGAGGTAAGTGTAAATGTCAGAAACCTCAGGGGAGGTTTCTGAAATTATCCCAAAAAAAAAAGGTTAGGCCTGACTTGGATATACGTAGGCCCATTTGCATTACATATTAAATGACCCTTTTATCCTCCGCACTCCTTTCATTGCCATTTATCATTGAAATCTATTCCAATATAAGCATATGATTGAGTACGGTTCAAACTTTTTAGCTTAATTTCTACTTTGAGTTGTCTTACAATTATTGTCACTGCTAATAATCTTATTGCATCGAATACGGTTCAAACTTTTTAGCTTAATTTCTATTTTGAGTTGTCTTACAATTATCGTCACTTCTAAAATCTTATTGCACAGAATATTTCAGTCATATATTGGTGTTACAATTTCCGGGAAGTAGCAAGGCAATCATCTCAAGACAGTTTTGCCCAATTCAACAAAATAGAAGTTCATTTGTTTAAACTATGAATCATCTTGAGCAAATAATGTAAATTACTTTGAACACAAAATAAATTTAGATCAATTTTTTTTGAACCCCATACAAGCATTAAAAATGATGTACAACAAGTGATTGAGTCTTAAATTTTTTTTGGGCACCATCAACCTTTATAAACGGTTGGATACTGCAATTCATCGTTCATAGCCCTAATTTTTCAATTTCTGTCATTTAGCATAATTCATAAAGCAACCCCAATTGGTTATTTGTAAATCAACCACAAAATCATGACCTTCGCCAACTAATAACTTAATCATCTATGCACTAAATCAGTACCCTACCCATTATAACTAATAAACCTATTACAAATTTATGAGATGCACCCATTGGTATGCAGTCTCGCCCACTTTTTCAAATTACTTTAAACTCTTATACTATGTTACTAACTCTGAATAAGGATAAGGATTATAAGTTACTATCAATGTCTATTCATCAACATACTTTTATTAGTAAAACTCTTTGTACATTGAGTGTCAAAGTGTAAAATCCTTTTTGTGAGAATAATATTTACAAATACTACTTATATTAGTTGCATATGCATAAATGTGCGTTGAAAACAAGTAACCAAGAAATTCTTTCTTGACCCTTGTATGTAATAAATATTATTGTTATCTCTCAAACTGTGGACTCCAAATAGTCTTTCTAGTTGGATTAATTGGAGTTAGGCTGTGTTATGGTTACTAGGAGAACCGTCCCGTGCTATGGTCGATCCAAAATTGGGCTAACTAGGTCTGGCTCGATCTCGATCATTTATTTTAAAATCAACTAATTTTGAAATGAAAGGCAGAGATCAAACCGGACCTTATTGGTCCGATTTTGAACTATTCACAACACGACTGATTCTCTTTGAAACCGCTGTAGAAAAAACGGACTCTGATTGATTGTGTTAGAGTCAACCCTTTCTTAGCTAATGTGTTACTAATTAATTGGAGGTGGACTTAGACTTGGAAGGACTTCCTTATTGAGTTATCCAATTTGTCAAGCAATTGGCCCTTTCAAACAATGATTGATGAAATCGTCAAACCATTCAACCTTTTGAACAAGGATGGTTACCTCTCACTACTCTAAAGACTAGCTTTTCAATTCTTTTCCACTGATCATTGATCGAGGAAATGGCTGTGAATGCAAGTGTAGTACATTTTGCCATTGTTACAAGCTCTCTGATCAGTTTGTTATCATTGCCAGGAGGTTTTCCTTATATCAGTGCTGTTGAGAATGATGTCTACTGCCTGAAATCAATTAAGGATAGCCTACAACATCCTTATAATTACTTGTCATTGACTTGGAACTTCGACAATGCTACTGAAGGAGGATTCATCTGTGACTTTACTGGCATTGATTGCTGGCATGCCAATGAGAACAAGGTGTTAAATATTAGGCTGAGCGATATGGGACAGAAGGGCCAGTTTCCTGGAGGACTGGAAAACTGCACTAGTTTGGTGGATCTGGACCTTTCTAACAATCAGCTCTCGGGCCCCATCCCATCTGATATTGGCCAAGTTCTCAAGTTCATCACAACTCTTGATCTTTCAAATAATCAGTTCTCTGGCTTAATCCCATCATCGATTGCAAGTTGCAAATACATTTCTGTCTTAAAACTAGATGACAACAGTCTACGGGGTCCAATTCCACAAGAACTAGGCATGTTGAAACGCATCACGATTTTCACAGTGGCCAATAACATGTTAACAGGGCCGGTGCCGAATTTCATCAAAGCAACTCCTCCTGAAGTGAGGTATGAAAATAATCTGGGACTTTGTGGGGCAGCCTTGGAAGTCTGCAAGGACGATTCAGATTCCGGTTTGAGCAATCGAGTTCTATTCTTAAGTGGATTCATGGCTGGTTGGGCCATCACAATGAGTCTGGTTCTCTTTATATGTTTATCTGGTATGCCAGTGCTGAGTTTGAAGAAGCTGATTACTAAGATGAAAGAGAAGATAAACGCCCTTGCTGATGTACAGAGCCTAGGGCCAAAAGCATTGGAAATAGATTACAATAACAAGGTACTAAATATCTACATTTATTTTATTCTTTATTCATTTATACATGTTAGGTTGTTACTTTGACTTCTCATGAATTAGATACCTAGTTTACATGGCATTTGGATTTAAGGAACCAATAATCGACCCGCTTATCAAAAATCTGTAGACTGCCTTGCTTTTAGGGTCCAAAAATTTCAGTTTTGTATTTTATTTTAATCAATTAACATCCCAAATAAACTTCAGTTTCCAGGTGGTGTAGATTTTTTTTTATTGGTTTCTAGCCCTTCAAAAGTTATGACCTTGTTGCTAACCTGAAAATGTGACTAGAACAGGGCTGCCTTTACATTATCGATTTTGTTTTCCAGGAAGAATAGAGCAGCGCAACGAATCTTCTGTCCCACATCCTGTGCTACTCTCTGTCCCATTTTTTATTATATTGCTATTTCTCCTACATAAATATCATGTTTTAGTTTTTTTTTGTTTTCTTAATATTTAATAACTATTAATTGAGTAAAAAATAAATACAGAGATTCAAAAAAGCAATATATAATAGAAAATTAAAAAATATAGCAAAAAATTCATTAAAAAATCTCATTTTTTATGCATTTTAATTTTTTAAATTTGTTAAATTTTGTGTATTACTCAATTAATAGTTATTTGATTTTAAGGAAACAAAAAAGAACTAAAACATGATGTTTATGTAGGAGAAATAGTAATATAATAAAAAATGGGACAGAGAGTGACACAGGGTGTGGGACAGAAGATCCGTTGCATTTTTGTCTCATACTCTGTGCCACTCTCTGTCCCATTTTTTATTATATTGCTATTTCTCTTACATAAATATCATGTTTTAGTTCTTTTTTGTTTTCTTAAAATCTAATAACTATTAAGTCACACAACAGACATTGAAGAAGATGGTACAAATGTTGTACATCATGCATAACGGTCTTTATTTATTGATTTATTATTTAGGTTTTTTTTTTGACACATCATTCTCAAATTATATTACTCTATAAGCTTTCAAGATAAATTAATATGGTATGTGTTATTCTCTTCCAGAGTAATTAAGAACTGAACAAATGATATGAATGCGCGGATCTAGACGAACAATCAAGTTGGAACGGCGGCACGTATGACCCCTCTAAACCCCGAATTGATGAACTAAGATGAATCTCAACCCAACAACTAACGATTTAGTGAACCAACGATCTGGATAGAAGAACGCCACAATCAAGGTGTATACTTGGTTGATAAGTTCAAGTTGAATAACTCAAGAAAAACTCTCAAGTATTCAAGCAAAACTCTCTTGGAAGAGAAAAGTGAATAAACTCACAAATATAATGTAAATTCTGGATCCCTTAACAAGGAGGAAGTAAGGCTATTTATAGCCTTTACAAGCATTAACCCTAATCCCAAAATTGACTAAACTAACCCTACTAATTAATGACAAGGATTCGGCCAGCCCTAAGAGTTTAATGGACTGACTTTAACTAATATTTAACTATAAAAAGATAAATAATAGAACTAGCTTAACTCTTCCTTAAGCGTGACCACTAGGTGAGGACACGCCTAACTAGCAACAGGCGCTGGAGGGTCTTCTACTTGGAGCAATGTGTAAAGTTTTGAATCTTCATTCTCCAAGCCTTCAATAATCTTTAAATCATCTCCAATGCGGCCTTGGATTGTACTCACAAGGGCTTGTAAAGATTCACGCATCTTCTTGGCACGAGCTCTTGTGACTGGACCACTTGGTACTTGAATGACTTGGGCAACTTGTGTTTGACCAGCCTTGAGCCCCTCATCAATCCCCTCCTCTTGTAGGCGATTTGTCCCCAAATCAAGCTCGTCATCTGCATGAAAAGGACTCAAGTCAGCCACATTGAATGTAGCATGTACTCCATACTCACCTGGAAGGTCAAGTTTGTAGGCATTGTGATTGATGCGCTCCACAACTTGAAATGGTCCATCACCCCGTGGAAGTAGTTTGTTGCGCCTTTGGTTTGGAAAACGCTCCTTTCTCATGTGTATCCAAACCCAATCACCTGGTTCAAACACCATCTGGCGACGTCCCTTGTTGGCACTTTGAATGTATTGAAGGGTACGTTTCTCAATATTAGCTCTAGCTTTGGTATGCAAATCCCGCACAATCTCAGCCTTTTTCTTACCATCTAGGTTAACTCTCTCAGAAATAGGTAAAGGAGACAAGTCTAAAGGTGTGAGAGGGTTAAATCCATAAACAATTTCAAAAGGTGAAAATTGAGTAGAAGTATGCACAGTGCGATTATATGCAAATTCAACATGAGGCAAGCAATCTTCCCAAGATTTAATGTTCTTTTTAATAATTGCTCGCAACAATGTAGATAAAGTCCGATTAACCACTTCAGTTTGTCCATCAGTTTGTGGGTGACTAGAAGTAGAAAAAAGCAATTTAGTCCCTAGTTTACACCACAAAGTTTTCCAAAAGTAGCTAAGGAACCTTACATCCCTATCAGAAACAATGGTACGAGGTACCCCATGTAAACGCACTATGTCTCTAAAGAATAAATCAGCCACATGTTTAGCATCATCAGTTTTATGGCAAGGAATGAAGTGAGCCATCTTTGAGAAACGATCAACTACCACATAAATGGAATCATGCCCTTGTCTAGTTCTAGGTAATCCAAGTACAAAGTCCATAGACAAATCTACCCAAGGTTCATGTGGGATGGGTAAAGGAGTGTAGAGTCCATAAGGATGTACCTTTGATTTTGCTTGGTGACAAGTGACACACCTTTGTGTATGCCTCTCGACGTCCCTCTTCATGCGAGGCCAGTAGAAATGCTCTTGGAGAATTGACAAGGTCTTCGCCACTCCAAAATGTCCCATGAGGCCTCCACCATGAGCCTCTCTAACCAGCAAAAGTCGCATGGAGCACAGGGGAATACATAGTTTGCCTTTGTAGTACAAGAACCCCTGCGACATAGAATAATGCTCACGAGTAACTCGTGGCAAGGTTGTGAAAATCTCACCAAAGTCTAGGTCAGCTGCATATAAATCCTTAATGAATTCAAAGCCAAGCAACTTAGTGTCTAGTGTAGTGATTAGTGTATACCTTCTAGAAAGTGCATCAGCCACTACATTAGTCTTCCCAACCTTATATTGGATGACAAACACAAAACTATCAATGAAAGCCACCCACCTCGCATGCCTTTTGCTCAATTTGGTTTGTGATTTGATGTGTTTGAGCGATTCATGATCAGTGTGGAGTACGAATTCCTGAGGTCTGAGGTAGTGTTGCCAAGTTTGGAGAGCGCGCACCAAGGCCATCAATTCCTTGTCATAAGTTGAGTAGTTCAATGAGGCACCAGTCAACTTCTCACTAAAGTAGGCCACTGGTTTCCCCTCTTGAATGAGCACAGCTCCAATACCTATACCAGAAGCATCACACTCTACTTCAAAAGCCTTGTCAAAATTAGGTAAACTTAATACAGGTGCATGTGTGAGCTTGTGTTTAAGTAATTGGAAAGACTTAGCTTGTTCTTCTTCCCATTGGAATGGCACATTTTTCTTGATAATGGCTGTAAGTGGGGCAGCAATGGTGCTGAAATCCTTGACAAAGCGTCTATAGAAGCTTGCCAAGCCATGGAAACTCCTTACCTCACTTACACTGGTTGGTATTGGCCATTCATTTATGGCCTTCACCTTTTCTTGGTCAACTCGTATTCCCTGGTCACTCACAACATAACCTAGGAAGACAAGTTGATTAGTGCAAAAAGAACACTTCTTAAGGTTAGCATAGAGGCTCGCCTTTCGAAGTGCATCTAAGACCATTCGTACATGCACAACATGCTCTTCTGTACTCTTACTATAGATCAATATGTCATCAAAGTAGACTACCACAAATTTACCAATAAAAGAACGCAAAACATGGTTCATTAATCTCATGAAGGTACTAGGTGCATTAGTTAAGCCAAAAGGCATGACCAACCACTCATACAGACCATGTTTTGTTTTAAATGCTGTTTTCCACTCATCCCCTTCTTTCATGCGTATTTGGTGATAACCACTCTTCAAGTCAATCTTAGTAAATATAATAGCACCATGTAACTCATCAAGCATGTCATCTAATCGAGGTATGGGATGGCGATACTTTACCGTTATGGCATTTATGGCTCTACAATCGGTGCACATCCGCCATCCTCCATCTTTCTTTGGCACAAGTAGGACAGGTACAGCACAAGGACTTAAACTCTCTTGAATCCAGCCCTTACCAAGCAAGTCCTCTACTTGCCTTTGTTGCTCCTTAGTTTCCTCCGGATTAGTCCTATATGGTGCCTTATTAGGAAGGGAAGAGCCAGGAATGAAATCAATTTGATGTTCTATTCCCCTCAAAGGTGGCAACCCATTAGGTATATCCTCAGGAAATACGTCTTGGTACTTCTGTAAAAGGTCAGCAATAGCACTAGGCAAGGAAGCACCAAGTTCATTAGTGAGCAAAGACTCTTTACAAAACAAGATAAGCAAAATCTGGTTAGAGTGCAAAGCCTTTCGTACATCTCTAGTTCTAGCAAGCATGATGGATTTTCTCTCCTTTTTCCCTTCAATGGCCGAATGTGAAGTGTCAATTTTAGGAGAAGATGGTTCGGCCAATTTGCTCTTTGTATCATGCAAATTTTTCTTTTTATTGTCACAATGCATGTCATATTCCTTTTGCAACCCAATTTGGTCCTCATGCACTTGTTGAGGTGTAAGAGGTGCAAGTGTGATCTTTTTGGTATTATGCACGAAGGAATACTTATTCAAGAATCCATCAAAAATGACCCTTTTATCAAATTGCCATGGCCTTCCCAAAATAATATGAGTAGCTTGCATAGGCACAACATCACATAAAACATCATCTTTATATCTACCAATGGCAAAATTAATTAAAACTTGCTTATGAACACGTACCTCACCACTATTATTCAGCCATTGTAGTTTGTAAGGTCGGGGGTGATCACTTGTTGGCAAGTTCAATCGTTCCACCATGAGTGCGCTAGCAACATTGGTACAGCTCCCTGGGTCAATTACCAAGCTACAAAGCTTGTCCATCACATGGCACCTTGAGTAAAATATGTTCTCTCGTTGAAGGTCATCTCTACTAGCTTGAGTAGTTAGAGCTCGCCTTGCAACCATACCAACTTTACCATGAGCTGGTATCTCCTCAAATTCCTCATCTTCCTCAACCAAGGGAGGCATGTCCTCACACTCATCCTCCTCATCCGTTTGTACTTCCCCATTTGGTAGCATAAGCATAACCCTTTGATTTGGGCATTGGGAAGCAATATGTCCAAACCCTTGACACTTAAAACACTTAGTGTCTCGGTATCGAACTTTGCTTACCTCATGAGTAGGCCTACCATCGCCCCTTGAGGGTGGTTTTGAGGAAGGTGCATTCGGCCTTAGTGACTCCTTGGTTGTCCCACCTTGTTTGACCAAGGGGAATGCACTAGAGGGGTTGACTTCCCTCTTGAAGGGTTGGCTTCTCCAATTTCCAGCTTGGAAGTTGGGATTTTGTCGAATTGGACCCCTCCTCTTGAGCCTCCTTTCAATCTTAATAGCCTTGTCTAGCATATCATGGAGGTCCACATAATGGTGCATCTCCACTTGATCCGCTATTTCAGGCCTCAATCCACTTAAAAATCGTGCCATAGTAGCTTCCCGGTCCTCGACAATGTCGGCCCTTAACATGGCTATCTCCATCTCCTTATGATAGTCCTCCACGCTTTTGCCTCCTTGTGTTAAATTTTGAAGTTTGAGGTACAAGTCACGGTGGTAGTGACTAGGAACAAAGCGTTTCTTCATGACACCCCTCAATTCGGTCCATGTAGTGATAGGGTATTCACCACTTCGCCTTCTACTAGTAGTGATTTGATCCCACCACACTATGGCGTAGTCGGTGAATTGCATGACTGCAAGTCTCATTTGCTGCTCTTCAGTGTAACCATTGCAATCAAAGATCAACTCCACTCGTTTCTCCCATTCCAAATAGACATCGGGGTCGGATTTGCCTTGGAAAGTAGGCAATTGCATTTTAACGCCTTTGATTGGATCCACACCAGCTTTACGGTGTTTATTCTTCCATGTCCTCGACCCATATTCCTCCTCGGAGTTGGAACTTTCATAGTCACGGGTTGGTGCTTGGTGTCTCCGGGACTTAGAATTGGTTTGGGAGTGTTCGAGACTATCCATCCTCTCATGCAATGGTTCTAATTCCTGTTTCATTAGCTTGAGCAATTTATCAGTCATAGCTTCCATCACAAGTTTAATATCAAAAGGAGTAGTTTCCTTCCCTTCGGACATGTTGAGGTATTCCTGCAAAAATAGAGTTAGTGGAAATAACACCTCACTCACTCCCTTAGTATATCACTCACACTCGTGTTTCACTCAAGTGTATTAAAACACTCTAATGATCTCACCAAACACTTTTCAAGTCACTAGATTGCTTTTCTTGAAGAAATCAGAATTTTCTTGAAGAAATTCAATCAAACTTGAACCAAATTACACCCAAGTGTGGCGGATGAAGGCTGTGAGTTTTGGAAGCTTGTTGGACTGATTGTAAGACACAAAATGAGATGTATAATATGCTGGAAAAAAAAAAAGAAAAGAAAGAGGGAAAAAAATATATATATCCTAAGCTGTCCGCCTAAAAGAAAAGAAACCACAAAAACAAAAGAAAGTTTGGTTTGTGACTAGTAGCTAATTTTAGGAGTTAACTACCAAGTGGGATCCAAAACTGATTAGGACTCTTGGGCCTCGTAAACCACGTTTTTATTGGCTGGGAATGCTATAAAATAGGCACCAAAGGTCGGCTGGGCAGTTGGCACAAACCACAATCAAGAAGCAAAAGCAAGAGGCGGCTACAAAGTAGGAAACCCTATCTTATCTTCCCACCTTTTGTGGCTATCTAATAGCAAGGTTTCTTGGTTGTTTTGGGGTGTTAATGGCTGCTGGTTTTCTGGTATTTCGTGGACAAAGAGATGCGGCCAATAGTTCAAGATTGAAGGCAACAAGGTTTGTTCTTTCAACCCAAGTTCGGCTAGGCTACCCAAGCAAACTATTTCTTGTTCTTGAAATCCGATTTGTGTGTCTTTGTATTTTTTTTTTATTTTTTCTTTCTTGCGTTGTTTTTTTTTTTTCTCTGCAAGATGGATCTTTCTTTCTTTTTCAATTCGGATCCCACACACAAGAAACAAGATCTTTGTCAAATTTGAGCAAGGCAGCCGCAAGTTTGAGCCAAGAACTTTGGTTTTGGTTTGAAGGTTCAAGATTTGGAAAAGGTTGAGAACAAGATTTTCAAGAACCCTTGTTTTCCCACCCAAGAACTTCAAGATTCAATCAAAATTTCCAGATTTCAGGAGTTTGAACAACAATATCCAACAAAAAACTTGATGGCAGCCCACGAAAATTCACGAAACTACAAAACCCTAACATCAAGAAATTCAAGATATCAATTTTGCAGCCCAAGAACTTCAAGACTCAATCCCCACAATATCAAGGACGCTAGGAAATTTCAAGGTCAGCCATGGTTTCATCAAGACACAACCAGAAAATAGGTTTTTTCCTCTCTTTTTCGGATGAACAGTGTTTTCGGGTGAATAGTACCCGATGAACAGTAACCTTTTTTTTTTTTTAAGGAAAACTTACAAGATGCAATGGGATATACTTGATGTCGTCGACTAGCTCGTGATACCAACTGATATGAATGTGCGGATCTAGACGAACAATCAAGTTGGAAAGGCGGCACGTATGACCCTTCTAAACCCCGAGTTGATGAACTAAGATGAATCTCAACCCAACAACTAACGATCTAGTGAACCAACGACTTGGATAGAAGAACGCCACAATCAAGGTGTATACTTGGTTGATAAGTTCAATTTGAATAACTCAAGAAAACTCTCAAGTATTCAAGCAAAGCTCTCTTGGAAGAGAAAAGTGAATAAACTCACAAAATTATGTAATTTCTCGATCCTTAACAAGGAGGAAGTAGGGCTATTTTATAGCCTTTACAAGCATTAACCCTAAGCCCAAAATTGACTAAACTAACCCTACCAATTAATGACAAGGATTCGGCCGGCCCTAAGAGTTTAATGGGCTGACTTTAACTAATATTTAACTATAAAAAGATAAATAATAGAACTAGCTTAACTCTTCCTTAGGCGTGACCGCTAGGTGAGGGCACGCCTAACTAGCAACAGGCGCTGGAGGGTCTTCTACTTGGAGCAATGTGTAAAGTTTTGAATCTTCATTCTCCAAGCCTTCAATAATCTTTAAATCATCTCCAATGCGGCCTTGGATTGTACTCACAAGGGCTTGTAAAGATTCACGCATCTTCTTGGCACGAGCTCTTGTGACTGGACCACTTGGTACTTGAATGACTTGGGCAACTTGTGTTTGACCAGCCTGGAGCCCCTCATCAACAAAATTTCCTCTTAATTTCTGTTAGAATTCTTAACATTGAAATCTCAGAATAGCATATACAATCTTTATTCTCCAGATTGCGCGGCTGGAAAAATACGTTACAAGAATTTCTTTTGCAGAATTGCGCAGTGCAAGACTATGTACAAGGCAGAATAGCATCATTGGAATTGGAAAGATGGGAACTATGTACAAGGCAAGACTCCCAAACGGATGGTTTCTTGCCATCAAGGGTCTCTTCAACTCAGAGCAGTTGCATCAAAAAATTGCATCTGAGACCATAACTCTAGGCAAATTAAGGCACCGGAGGCTGGTGCCTCTAATCGGATTCTGCCCTGAAAAGGAGGACTTGTTTCTAGTATATAAGTACATGTCAAATGGCAATCTTTACAACTGGTTACATGGAAGAAAAGATGAGGTGGATATTATGGCACATTGGGCTTTGAGGGTTAAGGTTGCTGCTGGCATAGCAGAAGGGTTAGCATGGCTTCATCACAAATGTAGTTTAAGGGTGGTCCATGGGACCATAAGCTCAAAAGATATCCTGCTTGATAAGAATTTTGATCCCAAAATAACAAATTTCTGGGAAGCAAAATTCATTAAGTTAGAAGATCAAAGTTCAAATTGGAGTTTTTTCCAGTCAAGTGATTCTCTGGATTTGGGTTCTTTCAAAAAAGATGTCTACTGTTTTGGGATTATGGTTCTAGAGCTTATAACGCGGAAGCAACCTCAGCAAGTCAAAAGCTTGACTGAAAATCTCTGTGGTACCTCTGTTTCTCATAAATTTTCTACTCTGGCTGAGGTTGATCAAAGTCTGATTGGTCATGGATTTGATGATGAAATCATCCAATTCCTTCAAGTAGCTGAGAACTGTGTGTTGCCTAATCCAGATCACAGACCATCGATGCTTCAAGTACATGAAACCCTGGCAGCATTTGCAGAAATCTATAACTACACAGCTGATTGTGAGATGTCCTATTGAGAGGATTGTTTGTCTTTCAATGACAATGCTGGTCAAAAAATTCTTACCTAATTACCTTCAATGAGTAGTCGGGAACCAAATTAATCATTTTGGGCATCTAATTATCAAACGATTACGAGCATAAGAAGAATTAGTTTACAGAGTTAGTATCATATATGCTCTGAATAGTAGCCTTAAATTCATTCAAAAAATTGTGCACCATTGAAACAGAAGAAAGTTTCTGTACACATAATAACTGTCAAATACTGTACTTGCAACATGTATTAAATTTACATATTTGCTGCTTTGTCATTTGGTTTCAGTTCAAGCAGTCATGGTAGAAAAGCAGTACCTCCCCTTGCTTCAGGTCAATTATTCTATTTAGTGAAATGGATATATAGGATTGTCTCCAAAATTTGTCAACAAAGATGTAAGACCATATAGAGTTACCTTGATAACATGATGGTAAATGAAAATGTAATTTGAATGAGCACAAGACACGGTTAAATATTCCATCAAAATTTTGATCATGCTTGTTCAAAATTTGACATAAAAACAACCAAATGGTCATGTTTATTTAGTTACCATCTGATCTTAACAAGCATGTGATTGATTGCTCTGTACAAGTAGTGCATCATCTGCTAACAATCTCATTCCCTATAACTCATCCATTCTATGATTTGTGTAACTAATCAAGCTATTAGTCCTGCACAAAGGAAACAAATCATAGTAGAAATTTATGGATGCTCCTCATTTTGATGCTTGCACTCTAGTTTAGCAGTATACTTTTGAGTTCAAAATCAATTCATTAGCATAACACCATAAGAGAGTGCAAGAATCAAAATGTGAAGCAATGACTTATGTTAGCTGAAACAGCTTATTTAGAGCATTGCTTCTTGAAAAATAAGTCCCAAGCGAATTGCTTTTCCTACATGGCTCTGTTGTTGAGCTGTCCTTGTCATTTCCCCCCTGAGTAATTATTTGAACCGAGGAGGTTGTAATAGGTTCATTGCCAAGTATAACACCTTGCTTTTTCATATAATCCCATTTGTCTTGAAAGAGGTAAAAGAATGCCATGACAAGGACCTGAGCCGTGAAAAGTGCAGTCCAAAGGCTTGTACTCTTTGATGTTTTCGAATGATACGCTTTTAAGCCAGTGTAGGTATTAAAAACCCCAACGAAAGATATTGCAGTTCCCATTATCCAATGGAAAAGATACCAAACGCTTCTAGATTTCCTTCCCCTGCATACAGAAAGAGGAGGAAAAAGGGAAACTCAGAAATTCTGTCCTCCTATCCTAATTGACCTGCAAGATCTGTCAAGGAACGTAAGTACTAATTATAGTAGAAAATAAGATGATTAATCACCTCCTTGGTCTGCGAAATCCAGTTAAGATTTGCACATAAATAGCACCATAAAGTCCTAATCCTAGTCTTTGGTGGCAGTTGTTGAACGAATTCTCAAAGCTTCTGATTGAAATAACTGCTCCAGCAGTAGCAAGTAGTACCGAAAGCACCTTATCAACACGATAGAGAAAAAGCATCTGTTAATTCTACAAGCTTATGAATCAAATATCGATTGAAACCTGCAAATGCTTTCTCTATGAACATAATCTTATATCCCTTATTTTCAGTATATAGACATTTTAGACCAAAAGTATGTGTGCACAAATACATACTAGAAGTCTAAAACACAACGGAGTTCTAATGAGTCCAAGATTATGAAGAGACTAGGACGTGCAAAAGTTAACAAACATCATTGATCAGTGTATGCTTTTATCAGTTAAGACTACGCAGTGTAATCAAGTTATTCTTCATGCTACTAGCACAACGTTCACAGTTAGCATGATCTCAAAAGTCTGGTTCTACCAAACTGTGGGCTCACATTGTTGTTGCCATGTCCCAAGTGCTTTTCTCTTTTAAAAGACCTTTATCCCCCCGTTATAATTAAAGTGTATTTCATGATTGCTTGACAGAAAAAGGAAAAAGAAGTGTGTTTAATCATAACATCTTGTGGCTCTAAAGGGGCTTTGGATCGTCTAATCACGTGATAAATAGAGGGGGGGGGGGGGATTAATAATCACCATTCTAATTCTCTACTTAATGTAGTTATACTTCCTAACCTCGTAAAGCCATATCCAGAAAGAAATTTCAAAATCATGAACTCTAATTTACCTGGGCAATTGCATGAAGACAGAAGAAGACTCTAAGTGTAGTTCTATGAAATTCTTGTGCACTGGCCATTCTGATAACAAGTATTCCAACAGGCATTAGAAAACCCATTGAAACCCATAAAAGAATTCCATGAACTGCAATATAAAATGTCTTCTGAGAATCCTGCTGCAGAAATTACCAAAACTAATTTAAACTCCACATGTATGTATTTAACATCCATACATCAAGGGCAATAGCCAGCACCGCTAGTATATGCTGCTATTTCCCATCAAAAGGTGGTTTCATTTCTCATCACCCCTTTATGATTTGTATGAATGTGTTGAATTAAAACACTCAAAATTGAACTGGCCATACATATATGTCCCAAGTTGTTTCCATATATTGATACAGAGAAGCAGACCAAAGAAGATGCTACTTACATGATGTTTGATGCTATTATCGCTGGCCGGCTTGAGTTCGATGGATGAGCATTTAACACAAGGTAGAAGATGAAGAGCAAAACTTGCACAAATGCAGCAATAAAAGATCATAGCATGCCTGTGCATCCTTCACTTCAGGATAAAACAAGACAAGAATGCCAAGAATTTTCGACCTTTTACCCAATACAAGGATAGTTCTATGTCAATTTGATCTTCCTAGGTCGATGTTTCATCAAAAGTAGAGAAATTCAACCACAAGATTTTCTATAGCAAATGAACCTGACTCCACAATGAACTCCAGTCTCTTTCTAAAAATATTTTCTACTTTTATGACTTTCTTTGCTTTATAATGGCATTGTCAGACATGCACAATCAATTGACCATTTTTAATCTAGGTAGTAATGATGAACTTTGATGTTTGTTGGACAAAAGTCGGATGCATGATCTCTTGCCAGATATCTTTCTATGTTCACCTTTTGTATGGACAAGGGGCTTTGAAAGTTACGCATAGTAATAGTATAGTTTAATGCTTGTAGTACACAGTTTAATCCTACATGCATGAAAAATTTGACATCATTTTTTTTCACTCTGATTTTACCAAATAGAAGTGTGCAATGATTCCACTGAGCATGGCATTTAACCCGGCCCACCTAATAGTTCAACTGATCAACCCTAGTAACCGACCACTTAATCAAGTTGAGTTAGTAGTTGGACTGAACGGGGGAGGAAACTATAAAATTTCTCTGTTCAATTTGTAGAACTCAAATAAGCGGCCGATTGAACCACGGTTCAATAACCAATTCAATAATTAATATTTTCTTAATAAATCACATTTATTATTTTACCATATTATATAATCACCGATTCAACCGTCAAACTAGCACTTGAACCACTAACGCCCTTGAAACAATAGCCTTACTAAGTTGATGCCTAGATCGGGTTTAATAACTATTCCATTGAGCATTTGTCCAGAAACTTTTGGATCCTTTCTTTTTTTTTTTTTTTGGAGCAGTAGTCCAAAAACTTTAGGATCTTGATTGAATAGCCTTTAATATTTGAGAAAATTCTATGTAGTGTAAATAACATGCTCTTACAAGTTTGACATGCCAAATATCTATGAGGCAATTTTTAGACGGTAAAGTTTGAAGAGGCTTGAGATATACTTGCAGCCATATATATCGTGAGAGAAGAAATTTTCCAATTTTTTAGAGTACATAATAAAGTTGAAACTAATGGTTAACAGAATATAGAACTTGACGCCTAGAAACATAGATTTTCCTTCTTAGGGAATAATATATAGACAAATAATTAGGTAGATCCAATTTACAAATTCTCTTGTAGAATATGTTATATTCTTTTTAGCCACATGAAAGTTCGCACTCTATTATACATTATAGCTATTATCAATTTTTTTTTTAACGCCATATGATCCACTATTGAGTCCATAGATCAGGTCCTTCAAGTATTTTCAGTATACAAACAATCCCGACTCACTATGGAGTATGGTCAAGTCTGTCTCCCACACAAAGGCTCTTTGTGAACATTTTTTTCTCTTTGTGAACATAGTATAGCAGGAAAGCTGCAACTGAGCATTCATTGTAGACACCAAATTTTTGGTGTAATTTCTTTTACTTTTTATTCTCATTTGTCGTGGTTGCTTTTAGTTTTTTTTAGTTTCTAGTTTCTATTTTAATTTTTAAGTTTTAACGTAGAAAAATCATGGAAAAAAAAAAAGGAAAAGCATTCAAAAATTATGCTTTAGTTGTTTTGATTTAAATTCAATGTTTTCTTGGAAAAACATGAAAAATGAAAAAGGGGGAACCCCGATTGCGGGTTTTGGGCTATTTAAGAAAAAAAAAAAAAAATCAAAAATCATAATTCCATTTCTGCCGAATCCATTTCCATTTCACTTCCCAATCTAGCACCTTCCATTGCTATTGCCGACCAACCCCACTCACAATAACCTCAATATAAACATTCCATTAACCATACACTCCACAATATACCATTCCCAATGCACTACAATAGCACTTCCATTTTTTTTCTTTCTGCCGTGAGCTGGAAGTGATCAACCTTCCTTGGAAAGAACGACCGAGTGAGAGAGCCGAATTCCTTGCTCATTTCTTTTCTGTCCGTAAACTAGAAAGAGAGGAGAGAGACTAGCTGACTATCTTCCTTTCATCCGTGAGTTGGTGAAGAGATTGAGAGCCACATTATCTTCATCCTAGTCGCAGGTTGGAGCAAGGGAGAGGAAGAGTTGCAGGCTGCATTTCTGGACTGCCGAAGGGAGGAAATATTTTTTGCAGCTAGCCGAGGGTGTTGAGCTCCAAACTGAGGTAATTTCTGGACCTAGACTAGATGTTTATAGGTTGATGAAGTTGTTTAAGGGCATGCATGTGAGGATTGTGTGGCTAGATGATAACTTAAG